ATAAAGTGGGGAATTTAAGTTTGGTATAGAAACTATTTTCTAATATCTGAAATTATCAGAGCTGGAGTTGAAAACCACGGGTAATTATAGATTCTTCTCTGAGGTATATAAAATGGAATGAGTCTCAGGGACTTGGGTTGGATTATGAATGTCTGTCATGAAGATGTGTGGTTAGAGTAGGTATTTTCTGAAATTATTTTCCAACTCTAGATTTCAAATGCTGGTAGCCAAATATACAGTCTTTTCATAATTCTACTTAAAAACAAGTAATACTTAACAAGTAAACAAGTCTACTTAAAAACAAGTAATGTTTTTAAGTAGACTTAAAACATCTTATAGATGTGATGGAATAAATGACAGAAAGTGGCTTTGCCATTCATTTCTCTGTATAGACAATTTACACATCAGCAACTCTCTGGATAAAAAATATAAGAACAGACCAATGCACTACAGATTATACAAAAGTAATAGCAAACAGCACACAGTATAAGAATAGATAACAATGCTCTCCTGTGTAGCTTCAGAGAGCTTATCATAAAGAGGCCCTTAATCAGAAGAGGAACTGAAAATAGAGAAAGAGAAGCAGTTTGCTACAAAGGTCACTCACATTGGTAGCCCCAGAAAACATTAGAAAAAGAGGAAATATAGGATCTTTGGTGATTCCCTTCACCCACTATCTCAGTTTTTCAGTATTGTTTTGCTGCCACCTGGCAGTTCAGAGTTATTTCCAGGAGCAAATGCATTGTTTCTGCTTTTTCTGCCATAAAGACATACATTTGCTGATAACCTTTCCCAGACCTCAGGCCTTCAATTTAAAAATTTAAGTTTCATTTCCCATTATTTTGAGTTAAACTGATTTACTAACCCATGATTTAGGGTGATATATATCCTTAACAGGTTAAGTATCTGTTTACATAGTGCTTCTACTGCTGAGAGTTCCAGGCCATTTGTTAGAAAGGGACTATGGGACATTGTGCTGCCCCTAGAATACAACTCATCAGGTGCCTATTCCATCTGTGCGTTTAGACCAGCAGAGATGAACTAGCAAACAAAAAATCTAAATACACATGCTGAAAGATCTTTCTGTTTTCCCTCTAAAAAATATAAACAGAACATATATATAGACACATATATATGTAATCATTCTTTCAAATACTAATATAATTGATTCTTTCTGCAAACACTTGAAAAGGTTAAAAAAAAAAGCAAGTTATGTCTAATTTAACAGTGATTGCAGTACACTGATCTTGTCTTATGAATTGGAATGGTTTATTAATTATGTTTCTATAATGAAGAATTTAATTTTCTTTGCTTTATTAATTGACAATAAAGAAAGATTTGCAGGGATTTGGATTTTAAACAGCATTAATGACAGGTGATTCCAAGAACAGCCAATTATTCCCTGGCCAATGTCAGTGAATTGAAGAGATTTGTTTAGTTTTACCAGGATTTAAAGCTGCACCCAGTTTCTGTTTGTCAAAGAACATACTGCTTTGGGATGACTGGAGGAACAATTGCTTACAAATGGTCATTTAATACTTAGGATGGTTTTTGTTGTTACTGTTATTTGTTTTGTTGTTTGATAGAGAGTGTTCAGATAATCTATGGAAAAGGAACTATTGGATAGGGCAGAAATATTTAGAGCAGATGAGATTACAAAGATTCTCTTTTTCTTGTTACATCTTCATCCTTAAATATCACATGCAAATATTGTATTTCCAAACACATCAGTTAATGACACCTAATCTTTGCTGCACTTTGCAATTTTAAGGCATGTTCATGTTAACTCTTTTGATCATTACAATAACCCTGTGAGATTGAAAGAAAGAACATTATAATCACTATTTTATAGATAAGAAAATAAAGCTTGGAGATATCCCTCACCCAAGGTCACATGGCTAGTTAAAACCAGTATCCAAGTTTGATTTGGTTTGGTGTTCTTTTATTGCTGTTTGTTTGTTGTTGTTATCTTTTTTTTTTTAACTGTAAGGCGGAAATTCTTTTATTTTTCATATATATATATATATATATACACATACTATATATATATATACATATATATATATATATACATACATATATATATATTATTGTGCTTTAGCTTCTGGGGTACATGTGCTGATCATGTAAGATTGGTGCATAAGTACATACATGGCAATGTGGTTTGCTGCCTCCATCCCCCATGTCACCTATATCTGGCATTTTTCCCCATGTTATCCCTCCCCAACCTTCCTACCTCCTGTTGTTCCTTCCCTAGTCCCCCCGCCAACAGACCCCAGTGTGTGATGCTCCCCTTCTTGTGTCCATGTGTTCTCATTGTTCAACACTCACCTATGAGTGAGAACATGCAGTGTTTGACTTTCTGTTCTTATGTCAGTTTGCTGAGAATGATGGTTTCCAGATTTATCCATATCCCTACAAAGGACACGAATTCATCATTTTTTATGGCTGCGTAGTATTCCATGGTGTATATGTGCCACATTTTCCTTGTCCAGTCTATCATTGATGAGCATCTGGGTTGGTTCCAGGTCTTTGCTATTGTAAACAGTGCCACAATGAACATACATGTGCATGTGTCTTTATAATAGAACAATTTATAATCCTTTAGATATATACCCAGTAATGTGATTGCTAGGTCAAATGAAATTTCTATTTCTAGGTCCTTGAGGAATCACCACACTGTCTTCCACAATGGTTGAACTAATTTACACTCCCACCAACAGTGTAAAAGTGTTCCTATTTCTCCACATCCTCTTTAGCATCTGTTGTCTCCAGATTTTTTAATGATCACCATTCTAACTGGTGTGAGATGGTAACTCAATGTGGTTTTGATTTGCATTTCTCTAATGACCAGTGATGATGAGCGGTTGTTGTTGTTTTATCTTTTGAGTTATTTCCCCAGTAATCTTGGTGCTAGATAATTTTTGCTGGGAAAACTATAAGCTTTCACGGGTTTTATTACAAAAATCCATCACTAGTCCAAAATTTCTAGTTGCCATGCACACTGATGCAAGTCCTATACACAGTCAAAGGCTGATTAGTTCTTTGCAGACTATTCTAGTGTCCATTAACAGGGATGAAGATGCAGGCAGGTGAGGTACTAAAATAAAGTCATTCTCTGTAAGATGCTGTTTGCATCTAATTTGTCTCCAGTGTGCTTAAAAAAGAAAGAGAAGGATGAGGTCAATTAGAGAAAAGAGACAATACCATCTAGTAATTGGGAGATCTGACAAGAAAAAGGTTTCTAGAGAAAAACTAAATTCATTCCCAGTGATATTTAAGTACAATTCCTAATCTACTAAGATAAGTGGTCCAGACAATGGATTTATTTGTTTGGATTTGCTTGTTTGTGGGGCCTGAATGACTAGTCACATTATAAAACGTTCACCACGTAGTGCAAACTGAAACTTTCAAAGCCAGTGACAGCGGAAATGTATGAGCTTCAGTATCAGAATTACCTGCATTTGTCTCTGGAATATGTGACTGTTAGTGGAATAGCTACAAAAATCACTTCACCTCTCTGATATACACTTTCCTTATCTGTAAAATGGCACATATTTGGCACTCAAGAAAAAGTAGGTACTGTTGTGGGAGTTCAAATGAGAGCGATGAAGGTCACTTGCATGACTTCACTATGTTCAAACAGCAACAATGTCTGTACACCTCTGAAAACTGCTTTCCAGGAGATGGAACACCTGGAAATCAAGTTGTGCAGTACACTTCAAGCAGGCATAGGGAGGAAAGTTTTAGGACATTGCAGAAATGTTGCTACCATGAGCAAGGCAGTGATGGAAAATTGCTATAAAATTACCCCTCCCAAATTATGTTCATACTTGTATTTATTTTTAAACTGTAATTACATTCATTTGCACCTCTTATTTAACCAAATATAAGTAAGTTAACATTTATTGTGGTAATATATTTGAAAATAATTTTAAATCCAATGGTACTTTAAAGTTATAGGATCAAACTATAATTATTTGTTTTCAAGAGAAACAAATTAGCTTATTTATTTTCCATCACCTGAAAGTTTTCTTGGATTTGGGTTCAATGATGAATAGTCTATTAATTTACTTTCTTTTTATATGTTTCTCTAATTAGAAAAGAGTCTGAAAAAGTCAAGGACTATTTCACCCTGGTATTCTTAGATCACTCACTACAGTCTATTATTCGACATATTATGTTTCCATTGCTTAAACTCCTTTTGTCCACCCATTATTGTTTATACCTGCAAAAAATTCAACACCAAGTTCAGCCTGGTTACAAATTAATGCCATGACCTTTCCCATCCTACTTGTATATCCAGAGGCAGCACTCAAATGTGAGACTAAAACTCACCCCACTCAATAAATAAATAATGTTTGTGTATTACACATGATAGTCTTTTATCAGGAATAATAATGCAGTTTTCATTTTTACAGGAAATGGAAAATAAAACCTCAACAAATGGATTCAGCCATTCAGAATGGCTCTCAAATAGTGAGTGCTGAAAATTGATCTGGTTACTTGTCAATTACATTATTTAGAGATGACATCAGCAGCAAATCTGAAGCCAACGCTGGGCCATTGCCCACACTATGTCAACCTTTCCAAATTTAAAAAAAACCTACTCTTTAAAGATATAAGCATCTCTAGGGCTGTAATTTGAGCTTTGAAACCTAATTAAACGGCTTTTCACCAGCCTCATTTATAAGCAGCCATCCATGTTCCATATAAACACCCGAACATATGACAGCCAGTGCTAGCAAAACATTTCGTAACATATCATCATTAGTGATGAGAAAATACAGAGAAAATTTCTAGACAAAATAGTATTGCTTGAGATGGTTCCTATAATATTTATTTCTGATTCTGTTTATGATTCATTGTATAGATTAGCTTTTTGGAATATTGCTAACTGAAATATTAAATTGAGACTTTTCAGTAATGACATGGACTTTGACGTTACTCAAGCAATTCCATTATGTTCCATCAGTGTGAAAGACATTAGGCTTCTTTACCTGGGGGGTTATGTTCATTGAGAATCACAAGTGATGCTGGCGTAGGTCTTCTTTTTCTGATCTGTGAACAACAAAAGCCCAGATAATATCAGTGAGAATCAGACACTGCCCCAGGTTACTCTGCAGCTTGCAAAGCTGTCTCATCCTCATCTTTCCCCAACATAGAAAAGCAAACTCTGGAGGGCACACATAAGGTCTCCCTAATTTTATTTTGAAGTAATAGAAAGCCACAGAATTGAACTGTCTGATAGTAGTGTCACACTCTTTGACCAAAAAGCTACATTTTCACGGAAAAGAAATAATTATATGCATTTGAATGATACAACAGAAAAATAATTTACAGTGAAGGTATGGAGATGACCTGGTAATGTTAGTGGCTGGCTTGGAGCCTCATAATATTGGTGATGCTTTCAAGATCCATTAACATTATTTTTAAACAGGAGAAGGAAGAGCTTGAAAACCTATTTCTAGCAGGTACCACAGTTAAATTAACAGCATAAGCTTTGAATTTCAATTAATTTTGTTAACTTTTTAATTTTCTAGCATAATATTTATAACAAATCAACAAATGAAGAATAAATATGGATCTTATGAGAATATGTAAGTTATTACAAACTCTAAAATTTGGGGTTTAATTTTAAGAGTTATAGGAGCATAGTATTATTAGAATTCCTGAAATGTAATATCCTTTATTTGTTTAATATATTCATTTATGGATAAATTTCTAAAGTAAGTGTCAGTAGGATAGAGAATAAAATGTATCAATGACATCCTGTCCAAGATAGAAGAAACACCCCAGGGATTCAGCATAGACATATGTTCAAGGTTACATTTACCTGGACTGAGTCTAGATGCATTTACCTCAGACAGTCAAAACATCCTGAAACACCGTGAGTTACAGATTAAATAATGATTTTTAAGACTTTATATCAAATACTTGGAAAATGATTCAAAAGTAATTTAAGTTTTATGAAATTAATGGATTAGGTTGATGTCCTCATAAATTTCTTTGCTTTTGCCTCCTCACAGGTGCAGTTCTAAGAGATGCTGTTACATCAAGAGTCTGAAGTGAATCTGAATATGAAAGATGATACAGATGTAAGCCAATATGAGACATGGAGAAAGAATCTAGGAAATGTTAAAAAACTGTTTGTAATGTCTGAAGAAAATGATTTTAAAATCATACAAAAAGCTACAAATCCTAACTACAATATGTTACATAAATTTATAATCACTGCTGTGGGTTCACAATAAAAATATAAGAAAATAAAATATTAGCCTATAGTCTAAAACTATTTCAGGATTTAATGACTTTATTGCTAAATCAATCATTTTAGTTTATAAAAAATTTAAAAAGTTGTTCATTTTAAGAATTCTTAAAAAGTTGCTCTAAATGTTGAACCTGTTATTTTAATGAGCAAAAATGAACAGATTTATGAATCCAAATCTGAATTGCTTACAGAGCCATTTTCCCCTCATAGTTGCTAATTTCATATCAAGTGAAGTGCTACGTTATAGCTAATAATTCTCCCAATGCAATTTAAATACAAGTATGTATAAAAACCAACTTATTTCTTGTTTACATATCTTGAAATTCACAGCCAAATCAAGAGGTAAAGAATCTTTCAATTAATAACAAGAATGCATGTTCATATTACCCTATGTACAAGAATTTTTCCCCATCCAATTTCACTTACCTGCTCTGCTGCTTCAGGTGCAATCTGACTCTGGAATAAAGGCACAGCAAATTGTATCTTTTTGGGACTGTTGGGCTCCATGGTAATGATGATAATTAGTCAGAGATGTGAAGAGCTCAGAAAGACTAACCCTAAGTGGTGTCCGAGGTGTGTTTCCTCAGACACACTCTGCTAAGCCACACAGAGTCCTTCGTAATAAATAGCTGTAATTCCAGAGCGAGCAAGTGAAGATGCAGAGTTTTGAGTAATCCCCTTCTTCAACATCCACGGTGATGCCTGGCTTGCCTGTTCCCCCACCAATCCCTTGGATCCTCTCAGCACAATACAGAAAGGAACAATAAGCTAATTGTGTGCCTCTTCACTAATACACATGCCAAGCACTCACTCAGCAGCTAATTGAAAATGCAATGCTAGCCTTGAAGGACCCACTGCCCTGGGATTTGAAAGAAAGGCTCTATCCACTGTACATTACTAACCGGCTGCTCAAAAGTGCAATGTAAGCTCCCTCTGAGTATTGCAGGGATGGGCCATTCATTATTGATGAACATCAAGCAGGAAGTTTTTAGAGGTGGGGGCAGGGTTTGGGTGTGGAATCATTTCTCTTAGCAACTTATAAGTCAGACACCTTTGCTATTTCACACTCAGCCATGTAACAGTTGAATGGTCATGGAGGGTAAGTCACAACCAATAATATCAGCTATATTTATGCTATAAGATCTGGTCAGTTTAGATTCATCCTAGGAGGCAGAGCATCTGTGATATAGTGAGGACAGCGTTACTCCAGAGCTTAGCAGATTTTAGTTCGAGTTTCACCTTCAACATTAATAAGCTCTTTGGCCTCCAGAAAATTAGTGGCTATGTCTAAGGCCTCCACACCTCCAACAGAAAAATGAGGGGGTTGGACTCAATGACCTTTAAAGTCCCATTCTGTTCCAGCATTCTAAAATTGTAGTTCGCAGTTTTCATTAGAGTGGAAAGTATTGTACTGCTAAATTTAGCAAACAGCTTGGAAGTCACTGCTGCTTCAGTGACCTCTATTTTATTTCCTGGTGGAGCCAGTTATATTCTCTGGCTTGGAAGAATATAGAAATGACTGGAAAATATTAGTAGAAAGCTAATGGTAATCAACATTGTGGCTTGTTGTCAATAATAGAGATGTATGCAAGATAAGGACTTGAAAAAAGCATGAAGTAGGTAATGTTCAGAGGATAGGCTAGTGGTCAAGGAACAGTGGGACACTAGCCTGATTGCCACATTAGTGAATGTCAAAGAGGAGGCAGTAACATAGCCAGATGGCCTTCATGCATTCAAATACTTTCGTGAAGAAAGCGTGAAAACAAAACTGTTTTAATGGAACAGAGAGCTTAAGATTTCTACTTTCTTGAGAGGCATTATGTGATGAATACCAGATTTTTAAATATTTTTTGGATTTGCTTAATATATTTAGACATCAGCTATGATTCCAGGTATTTACAATTGAAATTTTTATTTTTTAAATTCTGATTCTGTAACAGGAATCCATCTTCATGATTTAAGTAGGCAACATTCTGTTGAAGGAATATAGAAAGGAATATGCATTATTCAAGTAGTTTTCTATATTCACTAGGGAAAAAAGCAATGATGTGGATGGGAAAGTGCTTTCAGGTGGAGAACAGTGCTGACTAGCAAGAAATCTTGTAATGAGTTCATCCCTGTAGTGTCAAAGGGATATTTATAAATTACAACATTTTATGTAACAGTTTACAAAAGTCTCCAGAAATAAAATATAAATTAATATTATTAATGAAGTTATTTCTTTGAATACATCTTCAAATTACATGAAAGTAAAATAAGACAATATTTTTAGTGAGGAGTTAATCCAAAACTTCACATAATGCAGTAATTAAGAACATGCACTTGGCAGCCTTGAGTTCAAGCTTTATTTAGCTCTGCTACTTAACAAGTTTATCAATTTGGGCAGTAAGAGAACTTTTTTCCTGTGAGGTTTAGATTACTTCATTTCTGAAAAGAGCTCATTAAAAGGCCAGCATGTAATTACTCAGTAAAAGATAACTATTATTATTCTTTCAGCCGGATTTTTCAGAAGGCTTAAAGATACACATTTTCAACCAGAATCACTAAGAATATGTATCTACTTGTAATAATTTGTTATGACTTAGAATAACAGGTGATAAAGTAAAATTTCATATATGGGTTTGGTATAAATACCAATAAAATGATTCTCATTAACTATTAACCAAATCCCCTATTTTGAATAGTTTGACCAGAGACAATACTGTATGTAAATGGGCTATCTAGACACTTTAAACTTTTTGTTTTTTATGAGGCCAACTCCTGTGTATCCATTTAGATTCTGTTGAGTGTCATTGCTTCTAGGAAGCCTTTGTAGATTTACCATTTTCCATATTGGGTTTAAACTCATCTCTCTGTATTCTCAAAGAACAAAGCATAACTCTATTTAGCATAATAACTACCTCTATGTCTTTTGATTGTTTAGTATTTTGCAACTTTATTTATTCATGTAGTAAATATTTGTTGAGTAGATACTATAGTCTACTCCACACCAGGGCTTTTGCTATGGCACTAGAGGAGAGAATGGGTGAAAACGTGTTTGAAATCCTTTTAAAGCTAAATTGTTACTCCAAGAACCACTTAAAGTGCAACTTAAACATGAAATAATCTTTAAAAATGTTAATATAGAGTTTGCATGGGGGGTATAATTTTCCTAAATATTAGGTGCACATTTTTTATCCCTGTTAGAGACAACAGTAATAATTAACCCTTGTATAATACTATGTGCCAGGAACTATTCTAAGCGCTTTATCTACATTAATTTATTTAATCCAACAATTCTTGGAGGTAGATATTATTGCTACCCTCAATTTAAAATTAGGTAATCGGGAGTCAGAGAGTTTAGGTAATTTGTCCAAGGTCATCCCACTAATATATATATGGCAAAGCCCAGTTTCAAACCCAGGCAATTTTGCACAGGACTTGGGCTTTTAATCACAATGACATCATGATGGCCACTGTAATATAAGGCCTTTAGAGAAGTCAGTGGAAGTCAACAGAATCTCCACAGTGGTTAGAGGTTCTGACCACATCAGTTCCATGGTAAAAGATCTTAAGATGACATGGCATATAAATGAAAGAAAAGCAAGTAGCATGGCTAGATACTATTAATCAAGAAACTCAATCATTGCAAATTAGGTATCAGTATAGAATGGAGACCCTACAGTTGGATGTTGTACCACCAAACTGACTGAAAAAGAAGCTTCTCTCTCTCTCTTTAAAAGTAATGGGTTCAATCATTAAAGATTAAAAAGGCCTCTAGAACAAGAAATAATACAGTCTCTCTTCAAAGTAAGTGATACTGTGAGTAAAGATGATAAAACATTAGGAAAAGAGGCCATTAGGCCTTCCCAATTTTACACTCTAATATCTATCTTGCCCTACTTTCCATGATTCCTCAAGACCCCCATACCCTATACAGGCCATAGTTCATCCACCATCGGTCCTTCTGTGGCCTCCCCTACCTCCTTGGGAAGCCATCCTGCCTTCCTCCCAACCTTTTTTTTTAACCCAAATTATATTTATCTTCTAATTCCACCTCCTTAGGAAGAGACCTTCAGATTCTCCAAACAAGAGTCACTCAATTTGTTTCCTCTCCTGACATTTAATTATATATAGTTTAATGTCATTCTATAATAATTTCCTATGTGTTTCTTTTGCCTCTTCTCCTAGACTGCAAATCCCTTCCCATTCTCTCTTAAACATAAACATAACAAGCAAGATGCTGGTCATCTAGTAGCAGCTACGTAAGTACGATTAGATTTTATCTAATATTATTAAAAGACATAAGGCGTTCCAATAAACTGAATTTTCCTAAAGACCACAGCTCACCATTTTAAGCCCTACACCTTGCTATTAGTATTTCTTGCTGTAGTAACTGCCTCCAAATACCCATAGATACATAGTTCTTATGACTGTTTTTAGAGTTCTTTTTCTTTAGCTGATAACTGCCAATACTTGTTTTTTGTTACCTGATATTAACAAGTGATTTATTTAAGGGAAGAGTAGGGAAAGAAAGGGGAAGAGAGGAGAGGGGTGGGGAGGGAAAGCAAATTTTTAAACTTTTTAATGTATTTTCTATTCAAAGCTTTGTTTTAAATATCTTGAATTTATGGTTCTTGAAAGATATGCAGATACATGAGACATTACTTTGTTTAACAATTAGTTGGCTAACTAAATGCCATCAAAAATAAAAACAAGTATTTATTAAGCATGCCTACATTAAATGCTGGAAGTACCATAATGAACAAAAGCAGAAAAAATATAAGAGCATCTAGAGATGAGTCCATTGAGAAGATTCCTAGCCCTAAGTCAATGCTTTTCTATTTCTTTTATTCACCTAAATGCTGGCAGTCACATTTTCAATGCACCCCCTTGCATGTCCTCCTTCGATTCTAGCTGTAACTTCATTTACTTCCTCCATCAAAGAAAACCTATCTAATTCAAGGGAGAGTGACAATATTATTGGGATTTCATAGAATTATCTCAATTATATTCATTGTAACCTATTGGAGAACTCCAAAGCCTTCATATTAATATTAAATTATTAGTGAACCATTGATACCTAATTGAGACAAAGAGGCCTATCTATAAAATGTGATTGAGTCCCAATAATATAAATAAAATGGACTACTCTTTCCAATTACTCATTTAAATTAAATATCCCCCAGGGAAATTATTGGCCATAGTTTAACTCTTGCAGAATGTCTTCTAAGTTCAACCATGTAATTTTAAATATTAATTTTTTTTCCAGATTTATAACTATAAGAAGCTTTATCAGACTAAGCTCACTATATTGCAATCTCTATTTAAATCTGAATTCCCACAGCACTTAAGTATAAAAATACTTGCAATCTATATTTTGCTTAAAGGCTCACATCACTGATTCATTCATTCCACATTTATTTAGTGCCTACTATATTCTTTAAAACTTCTTTTTAATCATTTTGCACGTTCTCATCTTCACTGACTCTAACAATTTTGATTTACTCTAGAATCTTCATATCAATCAGTGGAGTATATATGAGTGTTGAATTGAACTGAATAATTACTAGTGTGTTACATAAATACTCAGGATTTTTTTTCTTCTAGCCATACAGACACTATTTTATTAATGCATAATTTTTTGTGTAGTCACTCAATTACACTTAATCTTTAGTCTTGTTGAGGCAGTTTCACTGAAGAAAGCCATAACCTCATGAAGAGTTTGTAGCAAGTCCACATCAGCCATGATGCTATAGCAGTGAGTTGACATCAGAAGAGGGAACTCCAGAGATTTGTAGAGCTAAAGCACTGTGGGTCTTTATTGATGCCACCCTTGGGGAGACAGCTCAACGGACAGCCCAGGAATAGGAGTGTCATGATGACACAGTCAATCACAGCCCAATGTGGACCAGGAGTGTCAGAAATTTTAGACCATGAAGACTTTTAAAAG